AACGTTGTGTTCTCTTTCTTCTTTTTTTCAGCATGGAATAAACCTATTACTTGTTCCTTTGCAGCCTACGCATGCTGACGCAGCTACCCACCTGAACTAAAAAAGCACTTTGCTGTATTTTTTACTTTATTTTTTGTCTACATCATGACAGTTCTAATATATTTCATCAGCTGCTCCTGTAGTTCTAAAGTACTGTATATACAGTACAGTACTCTTTTTCTATCTCTGAAACATGGACACTTACAGTATATGAACTGTGTGGAGTGCTCCCTTATCTACTATTTTTTATCATCTGTTTTTCTATAATTATCTACTCTAATTTTAGACTATTTTTGTTGAGTTTTGAAGTATACATCAAAAGATACTGTAGTATCCACAGAGTCACACCAGGACCAATTTTCCCATAAGCCAATAAAACTATTAGTGCATCTTTGGACTGTGGGAGGAAACTGAAGCACCTGGAGGAAACTCATGTGAACATAGAGAGAAAATACAGGCTCTACATACTGCAGAACCAGGACCCCTGTGCTGCGAGTCAGCAATGCTAACCACTGTGCCAACATGCCACCCCTAATTTGGACCTATTCTTAAAGTTGATACAGTATATTTGATATAATAATGTGGCTATTCATAAGACGGGAAGGAAATCTTAGTATCAATTCCAAAGCTAGCTTGCAAAACTGCCAATTTATTCACTGAATGAAACAAAAAGAGAAGGTAGTAAAAAAAAAGGCAAAGCAAATGTTAAAGGGTTTAGGTGGATGCTGCACATTGGTGGTGGTGGAGGGGAGTCCCCATTACCTGTAAAGTGCTTTGAGTGGAGTGTCCAGAAAAGCGCTATATAAGTGTAAACAATTATTATTATTATTATTAATGGCATGTTTCCAAAAGTCAAAATCCATTGTCTCATTTATTATGGCTGTAATACAGGCTGTTAAAATAAACATTTCTTACATAACATATTTGTTTCATTCTAGTAGTTTTAGTGTTTTTCCTAGCTGTTGAGCAATGTAAATAATGACATTGTAACTTTTAAAATATTCTGGAATGTCTGAAACCAGCATCAAGAGAAATGTATTGTTTGTATGCATGCACAACAACATTAGTTTATTGGGCACAGGTGAGGAAGTAATTTAACCTGTTGAATTTTAAGCATGAAGACAATCAAGAATGAAAAATGGAGAAAGGAACCAATATGCCTTAATTATCATCTTATCAAGAGAGAAGCACTTAGATATTATTGGTGTTGGTGGCTGCACTACCTCAGTGCACTGTTCCTTTCAATCTGGAATGTTCACATCCAGCAATTTTTAAACTGGCCATAATTAAAAGCCAGACTTAGTATCTATTGTCTAGTGTAAAACAGGTATCACAGATGTATTACTCCAATCAATGGCCACACATAGTGCTAGGCGGTGACTTTCACAGTAGACCCCTTGTTGATCATGCTTCCTCATGATAAATACTAATCAATATAATGAATTTACATATATCATTTCTGTTCAATTAAATGTCAGTTCAATTATGTCACTTTCATGATTGGACTTTTGCTTCAGTTAAGACTGTCAAATGTATTTTATGTTTATGGCATGCCTTATTATAGCAGTATGCTTTCATAACCCCAACAAATGGCTTCTATGTTTGCCATGAAATCTCCAAAAGCTGCAAAATAGAATTAATCTGCAATTAAAACACTGCACCATTATTTTTGTCATCACTTCAGATACTGCATTGTCCACCAAAGTCAGTGATTATGATGTTCAACTGAGTGGTTCTCAAGTATACAGTACACATATTTTTTGCTAATAGCATTCTACAATCATTCTGCTGATTTGCTTAGTGCTTCTTAGTGCAGTTTCAACTGCTGTTGCCACAGTGGTTTAAAAATCACAAGATACAGTAAATGAATGTATTTGATCTGGACAGCATCATCAGCTGCCTATCCTGATATGGATTATCTCAACAAAGCTGATTTCTGGTATATTAAAGTTGAGTTACTCTTAACATAAAGAGGTTGCATTCAAACATGGTGACATTTAAATTCTTATAAAGATATTTTATAAAAGATATTTAATAGTTTAGGCTTTGTAACTCCATTTGTTCAAACAGTGTATTATAAAATTAACATTTTTTAAATTGACTTTAGAAAGATGGATGATACCATGAATAGTTTCTCAAAGGATTTTCCTGGCTAAATATATGAATTGATCTTTAAATTGATTGAACATAAGGCAGTGCTGAGTTTACCATTATATAATTGAGTATTAGGGCAGACATTGGAATTTATATTAATCAAAGCATCTCATTAAACTAAAGTGCTGAAAATGCTTATTTTATAAACAACATTATGTAGGGATTCTTTATAACATTTCTGTATAAAATTGACAAAAAAATATAAACATAGAACAATACATAAAAGTTCATATCTTCTATAGAAGATAAACTTTGAAAGTTAAATGTCTGTAATACATATATAAACATTGGAAACATTAAACAAAATGAGCTTCTTATTCTAAAGATACAATGTTTCTGATAATGAAACCTGGTTGGCTTTAAAATACTGTTAGAATATAGTGCAGATGTTACTTTTAAAATTTAAACTTTATTGTAAGAAATACAGCCCTGCAAAGACGCCGGAATCTGCCAGGTTAAGCTCCTAACCTTAACTCAGTAGAAGTAGAAAATGGAAACAAGCCAGAAACATTT